CAACAGTGGATAATGGGAAATTTATATTATTATAAATTATTATTATATAAAATTATAGCTTATAAATTATTGGTTGATATTAATAATAATTAATTTGGACTTCTTATGCAAAACAGGCTTTATGTTCTCTAAAAGTTTGTGAAGTTTTTTAATGAACTTTACTAGTACTACTTGTCATTTCTCACTACATCTTAGCCTCAGTAGTGCATAAACTACAGGTTATGAACTGCTTTTTAAAATAAGAAAATGCTCATTTATTTCATCTTGTTGGTATCGTCCATTTGGAGCAGGGAATTATTGGCTAGTGTGTGGTAGGGTTGGGCGATAAATCGATTTTATCGATTAATTCGAATTCGTAGTTAAATACGATTTATTTTTAGTTAAAATCGGTTTTCTATTGAACTTCCACAACGCCGGCGCTCCCTTTGGGCTCCCATAGAACAAACCACGACCCACTACAAAGTTTGTTTGAAAGCTGTTGCAATCAAAGGTAGCAGTACGACCGATTTATTCCACCACCTCAAGCACAGGCATGCAGCCGAGTGGGAGAAATGTTGCTCTCTGCGTGATATACAGGACCGCAGCTCACAAACACCCGCTAAAAACAGTCTCCAAAAAGTAAATCGTGTTTGGTGTGAAAAAATCAGAGATTTTATTTTTAAGCCATATCGCCCAGCCCTAGTGTGTGGTTGAAAAAAAATCCATATCTTGCATTTATCGGCCTATCATATCAGAAGACATTTAAATGATGTGCCAATATCATCATGCATCATTCCTAATTTAAGTCAGGAAAAACATAGAGAATAATAAGCTCATGGTCTACGTGGCTTAAAGTGTAAACATCCTCTGTGTTTATTATGTAACTGTTACATAACAACAAATCTCAGACTACAGAGGGACCTATCCAGAAGTGTGTTCATTTCTTCTGCCAAATGCAGAGAAAGAAATGCTGAATGTGAACTACTAGACTGTGAAACACTGAAATATGTTTGCAAGACGAGATTTGTGGAGTTTGTGCCAGGAAGAATATTTACAGTTGAGGAACCGAGAAAACAATTTTATAAAGCAAATAACAATCTGGGTCAAGATGGTGCCCTGGTGTTAATTATGGCATCCAATAAAAGAATGGATGAGTTTGGCTAAACGGATTACAATCTGCTTCTCTTACCAGCTGCCATACTGTAATTAATGGTTAGTCATCAATTTTCATTCATGTGAGGTGTTCAAACACCAGCTTATCACTTTCCTTTTTTTTTTTTTTCACAATGTGCATAATCACTGGGGTTTGAATTGAACTCTGTTATTTTTGAGCCAAAATACCAAAAAAAAGGCTTGTAATGAGCATGGTTTCTCTGTAGTCTCGTCAGAAGCGGGGATAAATAAAAGTATCAATTAGTGCTTGTTTCAGGTGTCAAAGCTGCTTCAGAGTGGATGCTCTGAGGTCGCTGGAATAATTACCTGAGCTTTGTATAAACCACGGGAAGTCTGTATCCTAGTGGGCTCCTAGAAAAATGGGGCTTGATGAAAGCAAAGCCCACTTTAGGTTTTATTAGTTTTGTGTTGCTATGCTTGATTGAGGGGATGGACAAGAGGAATGGTTTTTGGTACATGATGTAGCGTGTTGTTTTTTCATATTTATCATACATATATTCCAAAATGACTTTGTGTCAAGTGTGGAATTAAATCATTTTTCCTTTCAGAGAAATGGAATAAAACAAGACAAGGTAAACCTACAAAGCTAACTTCTTAAAATATCGTAAAAAACCAAGGACTGTAATCACTGAAGTCCTTGCGGGGCACCAGCATTAAACAGGATCTGCTCTGGCTTACATTTATCAGTAAAGATGACAAGCAGTTAAATAGTCCAGCTAAATTATCTCTGTGATGAACTATCTCTCCATCTTGTAAAAACAAGCAGGAGGATAAATGATGTATAATAATAAAAGTTACTTTGTAGTTGTCTGCAGGCAACATACATAAAGTAAACTAGCATTGAATCTGTGGTGTTTGGCAATTGCAGACATACTGAGTTGACACAACTGATTTCAGGGAGTTGGTTGATGTTTCAGGCAGATTTAGGCCACTGACAGTTTTATCACAATACTCTATACATGTATGTCATCTGTATCTGTTGTTTTATTTTTTTATCTCTGAGTCTACACTCCATCAAATTGGGTGATATCACAGACAACCAAAATGGTTTGGCCTAAAACAGCCTAAATCTGCCACATTGGGTTGTCAAACTCATGCCAGATTTGTGACGAGTTCCCATGTAGTTCCTATTCAAGACAGGAGCAACTAAAGAAGGAAGCAGCCTCAGTAAACAACAACACCTGAGACAAAGTGCTAATGTAAAAATGGCCTGTTTTGACACACAGCGTTGTGAGGAGGTGTATAGTTACAGGCATCTGTATGACTCCTTGGTGTGAGATTACAAAGACAGTGAGATAACAATAATAATTCCTGGAGGGAGAATGCAAAGACACTCAACAGTGATAAGCAAACTGCAAAAACAGCGAAAGAACACAAAGGACTGGCTCATCAAGATGAAGAAAAATGTCAGGGCTTCAAGTAGAGATCCTGTCTGGGAGAAGTGTCCTCCAGCCATACTTCTGGCAATGCTCTTTGTAAAAGTGATACTTTGTCCCAAATATCCTTGAAAGGTGGCTGTTAAAAGTTTGTTGTTTCCTTCTTCACAGAGAGCAGCAGCTGTGGTCAGCAGTTTATATAACCACATTACAGCAAAACTATAGTGTTTTGAACAAACCTATCATAAGGATAGACAGTTGAGAAGTGAATTATGCTGCAGGACTGATTTTAGACCTTTTGATATTTTTTCGAGCTGTAACCTACCACCACTGAAGTACATACTAACAGACTTGTATTCAAGCTGACCACAGCTTCTGATTTATTTTGAAGGAGTACACAGCCCCCTTTAAAGCATACATAGAGTGAATATTTGATTTTGTGAGGACAATCTCGGGTGAGAAAGAAAGAAAGAGAGAAATCAATAGCAACTACACTGGAGAAAACCTTTTTTTTTTTTTTTTTTATGGTTACCCTATTTTACAGACATATAATGATGAAAGCCCAGCAAGTTGTTCACAAGTTGTTCACATCAGTGGTTGTGGGCAGGAAAGAAGTGCATTGTGCATTAATGTTCCGGCCTTAAGCTGGAACTCTCAGCGATCCCACAAAAGTGTGTTCAATTATTAGTCACTGAAGGCCTGTGATCATTGAAGTAGGTAGCAAGCCATGCTACACTAAAGCTGTTTCTCTTCAAGGCAGAAAATGTAATACTTGAATCCAGTTTTACATAGGGCATGCCTATAAAGAGATACATTTGCACTTGAAACCCATAGATTTACCATTATTTGAAAATAATAGACAAATAATCCTTAAATTCCAGTGTAAAGATCAAGTGCATTCCTGTTTTGTTGACAAAACAACCCAGCAAGGAGTGAAACTTGGCTTGAGGCTTCTTCAGTAAATCTTGCCTTAGGGCCAGGAGCACCACGGCTCAGGTGGTCAATGGGCTAACTAACCGGCAGGTCCGTGTGGACTCTCCGAAGGACCTGGACTTCTCTCTTGTGTTGTTTTTATTACTATCCATTCTCCATTGTTTGCCACTTTATTTGTCACAATACCTCCAGGGCAGTGCCTTCTCTAAGGGGAGACCAGCCTGGACTAGACCATTGTCCTCTACCCGCTTTCCTGACAGACACTTTCTTGGCATAGAGGGTAAAGAGCTTTGTGGTTAGTGCCAAACTGATTTCCTCGGTGGCTTTACTACTGGTGCTGGCAGTCTGCGTGGCGTGTTGACAACAGCTAAAGAGCCAAACTTGATTGCCTCTTTACCTAGTCATTATTACAGTATTTGTCACAGAATATGATGACCCCAGCCTCATCATGTTGCTCAATTTACTGACCCTTTGTGTCCGTACAATTAGCTTTCAAAAGTAAATTGCGTTGGTCTTGATAATGGGAATACGGTCCTAGAATACAGCCTGTTCAATGCCAGGGGTGTTTGATTATTTGTGGCTGGACGGACTTTGTTCACCAGATGTTTGGGTTTCCATTGATGATCACATTGAAAAGCTACATGCAGATGCATTTCCTTTCTTTGCACCTTTGGTCTGTTTTATACCTTTTGATGTATTCTGTCTTTTGTGTCCACCTTATACACTGCATGAGTATTTTTGAGTGCCCACTGACTACTGTGCATTCATCAGGTTTGAACAGACTTTGTGTATTGTAAGTTGCAAGTCAAAGGTCTTGAATCTCAGTTATCACTTAAAGCCTAAGCTTCTCAGGGCTCTGAAAGTCAACATCCCTATTACAATGACATGTGACTAGTGAAAGTGGAGATATATATTTTCTTTACATTTGCAGTGACTAGTGTCAGATGCAAGACACTCTGTTTATGTCCAAAGACCAAACAATTGTTTTAATACTTAAATCTGAAATGTATTACCTACAGTTATGTATGCAGACACACTTAAAGTGTTTGAATATGAATATCTATGTCTGCGTCAGTGAAAAACAGTGACAAAGAAATGTCACCAAGTATCTTTGCCCATTCAGAAGGTCTAACATCAACAGAGCAGCCACCCAACTATTACTCATGGCTCTGGCCAGTTCGAGTCTTATAGCAGCTATAAGACATTGAGTCACACTCAGGTGCTGAGATTTCTGTGTTTTATGACTCACTTATTGGCACACTGCCCGTTACATAACTAAAATGTCCATATGCTTTCTGGTGTCGCATTAAATGAAGTCAGTATCGGTCAAACATTTTCAGGATGTCTGTCTGTTTATATATGTTAAACCTCAGAACTTGTTTTTTGGGAGAACACACAATCCTGCTCTAACGGCTAACATTGCCTGCTCGAGAAGGAAATATGATGATTATTATATAGTGAGTGGCTTCGAAAACATCTGCCTTATTCATAAAATAAGCATTCCTCCAATTCTAACTGAAGTGTCTCTTGTCACTGTAGGTGCTACCTATTGGATGGGATCTCTAAAGGAGCCTGGCTGAACCGCTCAAGCATCATATTCGCAGGGAATGACAAGTGGTCTGTAGACCCACGCGTGTCCATTGTGTCCAGCGTTGGAGACAAACATGAGTACAGCCTTCAGATACAGAAAGTGGATGTAACTGACGACGGCCAGTACACGTGCTCCATTCAGAGTGAGCGTAACCCACGGCCAAAGCTCCTCAACCTTATTGTAAAAGGTGCGTATAAACAGTTCTTGCTGTTCTGTACATGCACTTGTTTGTGTGTGTTTTTTTTTGTGTGTGTGTGTGTATATTAACTAGTATTAAATGATAATTAACCCCATTTCCATTAGTAGTCACTGACTGATTTGAGTTATGTGCACCTGTAAGTGGCATGCTCTCTGATATTTGATCAGTGGGTACAATATTTTGAAGGTTACCTGCTTTGTGCTTTTATTTCTGATTTCTGTCCTCTGCCTTTTTTTTTGTCTGACTTTCTTTTGGTTACTTATTACACGGATCATTTAGCCAACATGATTTCCATAGCAACTCTGACAATATTCTCACGTTGTCCATGTACTGTACATAATGGTCACAGGTGTATCTGGCACCATCTTTGAAACTGTCTGTCATTCTCTTATTCAAAGAGTAAGAACAAGAGCTTGAGTCATACTGCTTTGTGTAAAATAATAAAACAAATCTTTCCAGCAGAGACATTTCTCCTGTGTAGGCAAACTGACATTGTGGGGTACATTTTGTGCCTGTAGGCTATGCACCAAAAAGTAAAGCTTGTTGGTTTAAAGGACTGGAGGCAGACTATGCATGCTAGCTTTAATCAAGCCTCCTTGGATTTAGTCATAGTTGGTAACAAAATAAGATGTAATTCTTGGGTCTTGAATTAATTTTCTCTAGTTAGTTGATATGCTGTGTATGTATTACATTAAATTAACAGGTGTTAAAGCTGTGCATTTCAGTCTTTAACATAATAAAACTGCCATTGAGCTCTTTAGAGGAAGTCCAAATTGGGCTTCATCTTGACGATCTCCATGTCTAACAAGGTCAATAGGTGTATTTGTGCTTTATGGGCCATTTAGAAGGCTATTGTGGGCACAGAGAGCTAATTGACGACAGTATCCTAATTGATACTTGTTGAAGTAATAGGGTGGTGGCTGAGTTTGTATGCCGATAGCCCAGACTGTAGATTAGCAACGAGAAAACCGCCACTCTGAAAATCCATCTTCCAAATGCCATGTTTTATTTCTTTAATAGGCTGATGCAAAGATTTACAGCATGCATCGTCCACTGGGCTCTGCATATGTTTAGGTTGGAATATTAATGAGGATGTGATGTTATTAGACAACCTGTCAATGGGAAAGCACACTTTTTTTGCCTTCTGTTTTTAATTTCAGCTTGCATCTCACAACATAATGTGATAGTCTGCATTCATTGCTCACTGTTAACACCCTTGAGCAGGAATAGTGCATACCAAATTATTCTTCTTTTGTTTCCAAGCCGTGGTTGATGAAGTTAAAAGGAACACAATGTTGGAATATGCATCCTTCCACACAGCCAGGGGAGTATTAATAGAAGGTTAAGGGTTAGAAACACTGCATGTAGAAGTGTGAGCTGTGATATGTGAAATGTGAAGGTAGAAACAGCTCACCAGCTGGCGTTGCCATTATGACATATGGAAGAAGCTTCTGAAAAATATTTTAGGGATGTGATCATACCTGCAGTTTGTTTAGTTTGGTCTAAACCATAAATGAAAGTATTCGTTTTGGCCCTATCCACAGTGTTCTGTTCCAAGAACACTGGAGGTTGTCAAGGGGAGGAGCAGACTAGTCAAAACAACCTTTTCAGGTGTTCATACCTAAGAGTTAAGAAAACATCAGAAAATAGCACGTTATGAGCAACAACCCAGAAAGCCACATGCCCTTAGCTCCTTTTGTTATTGTAGATTTTATACACTGCTGGCTATTACATGTCAGAATCCATCCTCATGCACTGTACTTATAAAACTGAGTGGTTGGAGGGCAGGGCCAGGGATGGTTTGAACATGCCCTGAGTGCCTTTTAAATTGGTTGTTTATGAGGTTGTCTATTAAACTGGCACGCACATGGCTGATGATAAGAGTGCAGGTCACCTCACTCACCTTAAAAATGGCTAACAAGCCTGTCCCATGATTAGAGGGTCACAGAATTAAAACCAACTGTAATTTAGAGGTATCCTCGATTAAGACGCTGAGCATCTACTGTCTATTCATGTATACCCTTTAGCCCAGTGCCTAAAATATAAATGCAATGCTCTATCAGCACTTGTCAACTTGTCAGAGCACCACAGTGTTTTGCAGTTACAGCGACTGTCCCATAGCTGAAAGGTCACAGGGTAAACCCTGCCACTGCCAATGTGTCCATCAACAGCCTGATGTCTTGTTAAAGGTTCCCTCAAGCAAGCAACCCTTCCTTTCGTACCTTCCGTTTCCCTTTGTCCTTGTTTCTCTGTGTGAATGGTGAAGTTAATCTCTCAGAATCCACCCATTCAGTTGAAACGGATCCATCTAATCAGCATTGGCCTCGATGCTGACTTAGTTGGTGTCAGAAATGTGACTGATCCACAGATCCACAAATACTTAAATATTTAATTTGCAGCTAATTTTGATGCATTAAGTTACTGCTGTTATTCATAACATCCTGTATGTGCTTCACAAATGTCGAAAATGCCATTCAAGGTTAGCTACGGTTAACCAAAATTTACTTGATGATGCAGTTTTTGTAGGGAAATCTCTTGAAACTTTACATTCAACATAGTATGAAATTCCCACGGTCCAGTGGTTATTAAAAATCTCCACTAGCCACCGGCTACATAAATCCCCATCCATGTCCACTTGTTGGTTTACTTATTGTGCTCCAGCTGTTAAAATCACCCCACTGTTCCTGATGTACAGTCCTGAGAGTGAGTGAACTGTGGAGTGGCTGAGTTACAATTAATGACATTCTCACTGACAACGACAGAGCTGCTTTGGCTTTAACAAACAGTCACTTTGCCTCTGCTTCAGCTATATTTTACAGGTACACCATGCCTGTAAATATACATGTAATAAACCGTCAGCTGCTTGGCAGGCAGTAATGGTCACTACAGGACCATCATGTTTTTGTTGATGTTGGCTTTCTAAAGAACATTCTGTAATGGGAATCTTACCAGGGGTGTTTCGGGTCATGGCAGCCCCTCACCACTGGCCATATGGCCACAATCAAACCGAAGCTAATGTGCCAGCTGTCAGCTGTATAATATGTTTTGCAATGCCCAGATTTCCTGATGGATGTGACCTAGCGGCTAAGATTTGGCAACGGTTTGACATACAAATACCAATTGTTGTTCTGCAGTTCACAAATGTAACATATTGGTTATTTCAGTCAGAGATGTCTATCACTCATATTTTGCGACTTAAAGCAACTTGATTTAGTTAAATAAAGCTTAGAAGAAATGCTTTGTTTGGTAGAATCTGACCAACAGTAAACTTAAAGCTTCAGTGCACATTTAAAACCAGTCTGGGCCTTCTTGTAAATTCAGGAAACTTTACACGTTAAGTTATTTCTCACTTAGTTATATCCCAGCAGGTTGGCTAGAGATCGGTACAACCTCCTCTACTGTCGGCCACTGTGAGTGACTCTTGGGCTGACAGCCTGTCAGCAGCCCGGTGGCAGGAAGGATGCTTCATGATGCGAGCAGGATGCACATTTTTACTTTCTCTGGCTTTAATGATTATGTTTGTCATCTGTGGTGTAAAACATCAGATTTCCACACAGTCAAAAAGGCAAAAGTGTGTGTCCCGCTCACCAGCGTCTCTCCTGCAGAGCGACTAACAGCGCAGTTAAAAGCGACGGGCTAGAGTGCCGCTGAACTGAAAGAAAGGACAGTGATAACGGGTACGTCCCTATAAAAGTGTTCATTTGCATTTAGAGCGGGGAAGTCAGATCTGATCATAAGTGGCCACTCGAGGCGCATGTGAAGATGCAATCCAATGCCCGGTGTAAACTGACATACTTAAAGCTGTCCACTTGTGATCGGATCACCCAAGATGCATGTTAATTCTGGGTTTAAACAGACTTTATGAAAAAAAGGTAGAACATATAGTTCCATAAATATGCTTTTTTTACTTTTACTGTTCTCTGCTATTAGTAAAGCTTGATGGTGTTATGATTGTGTTATATAAATCTGTTACTGTTGAGTCATCAGGCAAATGGGTCGCCAGCCGTTGAGACAGAGCTGTGTATATGAGTGTGAGCTGCAGGCAGGAAGTATGTCGAAATACAGATGACTCATTCCAGCTGATAAATGCCTGCGGTCACTTCTCTGACTGCGTACTCAAGGTAGTTAAAATTGTGGTTCATTATATTGCCAGCCACTCTGTCATTTTGTTATTTATGTACAGCTACAACATATGTGTGCTGTTATGGCACCTCCATAACTTCACACCTTATTGTACTTTTGTGTATTTGCTTCGTCAAAACTCTCTGTGTTGTGAATCATTACCTGTCACCGTGCGATACTTGTGTACACATGCTTAAGCCCACTCATGGAGAACAGAGGGATTTCGTTACAGATGAGATGCAGCAGGGGAGCAACTCTGTCATGTTGCAGAGGCTTCTGGGAGCATGCTGTTTTTTTCATCTGCTGAAAGGGAAGGGAAGACTTGCCTAAAAAAAAAGAAACCAGACACTTTAATCTGGGCTTTTCAGAGCAAGCATACAACATTTATTAATGCTGCAACACGAATGTTACAGTTGAAGTAAAAGGATTTCATGGCGTCGGATTTTTGGCACTTTTGCTTTGCTAGACAGTGAGGAGTAACGCAGAAAATGGGAGCAACAAGGGATTATATATGGAAATATGCAGTGGTCTCAACCCATTTCAGGTGCATGTTAGGGTCCTTGACCAGCTGATCCTCCGAGCAGTTATGCTTATCTGGAATGTGTATCTATGTCAGCAGTGCTGGGCGGCTTTCTTGTCATATCGTTACAGTTCTGTCAACACACATATATCAATATTTTTACCACAGACAGAATAGAAAAATGATAAAATACTAGTGTGGATCTGCAACTGAAATTAAACTAGATATTTTTTAGGGAAAGCCATAACTTTTTCATCTGATGATGGAGATGTAAATACACTTAGCGCTTGGCCTCATAAATCTGTAAATTCATAAATTCCTGATCAGTGATGATTTAGTGATTCGG